AGTGTAGAAATGGCCGCCATTTATAATTCACAATTGTATCAAAAAAATTCACACGAGACTATCCTCAGAAGAATTTTATTGGCGAAGGAAATTTTTTACTTGAGGATTGAATACCGAGGATTATTACAATCGATATCGATTGACCGTCGAGTCACAATAAACCCAAGTAATTGTGACAAGCTTTTACTGACCTATTTGTCAGCAGGAAGAGACAGAATACCACGATTAACATACCTACAAAACATAATCGATACAATCATCAAACTAGATTCAGGAATACAAAAAGAATTCCAGTTTGGCCAGAATTTTTATTACTACACGTTGGTAAAAAAATCATGCTTTTCATTACGATGAAAATGTGAGATATTTGCGTTCATATAAAGCTTTTTTGTAAAAGAATTCAGAGTTAATTTCCAGTCATTTTTTTGAAAAGACAAGGCACCTATTATGTTTCCAGTCTTGCTCAAATACAACCAAAAATGAGAAAATTTTAAACAATGCTTTGCCACATTTTAATAATGTCCAAGACGTGTTTTTGTGTAAGACATTCATGTAAAGCAGGAGAGATATGACAAGTTTAAATATCAAAAGTTTTTAAATTTGTCAGCACACAGGGATATTAAAACTCCTCGGAATTCATAGCGGTCTAATTTTTTTCGCATTTCAACGTCTGTAACCTGACTCTAAAAATCCTTCTTAATTATTCCATCAAGTGTATTTTGACACTCCACCAGAAAACCTTGTAATTTATTTACCGGCGACACTAGCCCATAATGAATTTCTGATAGGCTCCAGACCCTCTAATCCAATTTTTTGAAGACTTGTGTTATGGTTATAATATTTGAAAATTTGCATGCTAAGAGTCGTATCCACACCACGCGAACATACAATCTGTCACAGCAGAGACATGACACGAGCTGAGCGTGTGAGTACGAATGTTTCTATATTTTCCTAATTGCATTCTTTGTATTTTTATTAACGCAACAGACATTAGTTACATGTAATTTGCGTTATGTTACCACCATATTTAATTGCGTCTGCATGCTTGGGACTTTACAAACCTGCTAAAAAATTCGGCGGGAACAAAAGGTGTAAACATGCACCTGATCAATCGTGAGTGTTTAATTGGTACAATTAACACATTCTTGAGGCAATTATTCTTTTGTATGGAACTTTTAGCACGTTCTTAAGTCGAGATTAATTTAATTCTATTATTTACGGCTAGGCTTTGCATGTCAATTGCTTGCTTTAATAGCGATAGAGCTGCATAATCCGTCTGCGAAATGTTGTTTAATTATTAGTAATAGGTCTAAAACATCGCCGCAGTTTCTTAATAAAGACATTTTCTGATGTACATATTTACATGTTTCACTTTTGATGTACACCTTTTATTGCTTCGGTAAAGTTGTAAATTGATAGTTGCAGCAAGCTTAACAGTTTGTTTTAATTGCAAAAATAGAAAAATGATGACTTGAGAATTCTTCATATATTTTATTAACGACACTTGAGATTATGCATGAAATAAAACTATAGAATATTTTTTGTTTTTTCTATTAAAAATATTTTTAAAATAATATATTCAATATTCAATCACCACTGCAATTTCGGTATTTTTTTTATCTAACCTATTAAAAAAACATGTTAAAGTTGAAAGAAGATGTTTTCTCAAGGACCTTCTGAAAATTATAATTCACTTCATCTTCCCACTAAACAATTAAATTTCTTTTATGTGAATTTTTATTCTTACATAACTTAAAAGTATTCCATGATCACATTTGTGTGTAATCAACCCACTGGTACATTTCATATTGATGTAACAATAATGAATGATGTTTTTTTTCTCATAAAAATCTTCAAAATGCTCACATTTGACTAAGCATATAACTATTATAATTTGCTTGTGGCCTAGAAAATTTGCATGCCTTTCAAAACAACCTTGGATTAAAACATATGTAAAAACCTTTTGGCGTACTTCTAACATTTGCCATAAACACATTTCTTACACTTTAACCGAATGAAGGCTAAAGGTCGATAAATATTAATAAGTATTTCCACACCATAGATATACCATTAAAAACAATATTAGTACTGAGAGTTCATTTAATTCAATAAAATCAATATTTCTCTGCATTTTTTATATATGAATTTGCATATTTGAAAGATATGTAAATAACTCTTAAGCTTTTGTGATGGCATTCATTTACATTTATAGAGGCCGAACCAACTACCTACACATAACATATGATTCAAGTTATTTTATTTGAAAGCTTTGATAATGTCAGATATTTCATGTAAAGGTACTAGAGAATAAAAATGATACAACAGACTTTGAATATGTTTAAAGAAAATTGTTGAACTGGCTCTTCTTAAACTGTATTCAATGAAATGAAATCATACAACAATAGACCCATAATAATAATCTCCTTCTTATTACAACAGTCTGTTTAATTAACTTAGCCCATTTACTGTAATTTTTAAAATCATTATGTTTTTATCTTGAAAAATTAAAAACTAATTAAATAAAATTGTTTGCTACGAATCAAAGCTCGTTTAATTATTTCATACCACTGCATACACAAACTACTAACATATTGATTAAAACTTAATTTAAAATTCAAATCGCTGTGCATTTCAGCTGTTTATTATTCATAAACACTTTACTATGGTATAATTTGATCACATTTAAAACCATCTTAACCGTAGTAAGAAGACATCAAGCAGAGTCGTAAAATACAGCCACATAAGTTTATAAATTAAAGTCAACAAAATACAGATAATAAAATTTAAAAAATTCAAAGAGCGAACTTGATTCAGCCTTTTTGCACTTTTCTCGTCCAAATTAAAATTGTTTTTACAAAAAAAGCCACACTTCTCTAAGGCATTTTTGTTAAAAACCGGTAGAGAGGCTCGGTGATGATACTCAAACCTGTAATTTCACTTTCATTAAGCATTTTTGTCGGAGTAGTTCTAAAAAGAGAACACTAATTAACTAGCTGCAAGAACCACGTTCAGCATTCTATAATAATGCAACTTAAAATAATTTTAATTGAAGGTTATTAACCAGCAAATAAAATAATTAACGTTGAAAATTTGTACATTATTTAATAAACAGATTTCTACATTTACAACAAAAAATTTATAAATCAATAGTAATTTACGTGATCAAATTCCCAATTTACAAAAAATAATACATTACCTACAATGAAGTTACGTTTTAATTAAAAAAGGTACTTTATTATCATAGAATTACCTCAGTTAGCAGTCGTATTTAAAAAAGCAATTTTTACATAAACATATTGTACTGCAACCATAAATTTGTAAAATTAGTAATAATTATACAGTATGTCCCCGGATTGAGTTTATAAGAGGAAAAAAATGTTTATCTTTGATTTTACGCAAAAATTGCAAAAAAAAACATTTTTTGTTTTACCTGAAACGAGCAAATCTGTAATTAAAACTTCATTATTCTAATTCAGTAGAAAGAAAAGTTCATTTTTCTCTTGATTTTGGACTTAGAATAATTTATTTCTGCTTTTTAAATCCCATCATATTGCCGGTTTTATTATTTTGACAATGATGTCACTTTAACAAATGAATTTACGCAAGTTAAATAACAAAAATGTTTGTAAAAAACATAATTTTAATAAATACCAACTCAAAGAAACAACTTTAAGATAAAAACCAAATTTATTTTTGATAAAAACTATCATTATTTAATTAATAAGTTAATTGTCAACGTGACATATAGTTGTCAAATAAATAAAACCGCGAATGTGATAGGACTTAAAAAGCAGAGAATAGTATATTAAAGTACAAGAAGCACAAATTTGAAATTCCGAAACGAGCCGCGAAGCGGCGAGTTGAGGAACAAATGAGTGCTTGAAGAACCTTCTGCAACAAGTGCTTTATACTATTTTTTCTATTTCGCCGCCTTATTTCATTTTATAAATTAAAAAACGAAAATTATTTTTTTTTTCTAGAGAATTTTGCGACGGTTGGCGACATTATTGTGTGGAATAATTTTAGGCGGCTGTAAAAAATAAAAATTATTCTTATTTTCACATTTGAAAATGAATTGTGAAGAAAGTCCGTCACTAAAATTAAATTACCGCGAACGACTTATTCCAGCATGCAAATGACGTCATTTGGGTGCTGGAATAGACTTATTCTAACACCTAAATAGAAAAAAATTATTCTAAGTCGAAAATCAAGAGAAAAATTAACTTTTCATTTTACTGAATCAGAATAATAAAGTTTTAAGTACAGATTTGCTCGTTTTAGGTGAAGCAAAAAATGTTTTTCCTTTGCAGTTCTGGCGTAAAATCAAAGATAAAATTATTTTTCTCTTGTAAACTCAATCCGAAGACATACTGTATACATGAACTTTATTTTAGAATAGGTACATATAAAAAATAAACAGAAATTCTATTTATTTCTTACAAAAATGATTCAAATAAAAAACAAGCTACTGTAAATTTTAGAAAATGGATTATTAATTGTTGTCTATTAATATTCAATAATATAGTCGAGGAGACAAATAAATAAGATAGTATTAAAATGTCAGGCACCACTTAGCGACGTCCAGCCAACTATTGACGTGTCTCTTAGCTGTGTCTCTATAAATAATAAAATATACGAAATAAATTCAACTCCCGACTAAAATCCGGTTTTATCGCTCCGTTGACCATGCCTCCAATTACACATAAAGAAAATATGATGTCAGATAGAGGTGCATCCGGAAAGTCAGAAAAACGCATCTTGAAACTTTCACGAGGCGTATCGAATAATTTTCGGGTGTTTATTAGTCTCCTACTAACATTTTAATTGTGAAAATTTGGCCCACAAAGCGTGTTTCTATAATACCTACGTAAGCAAAGTAAAATCGGCAGCTCAGAACGAAGGGTTGGACAAAGATGCGGAACAGAACCTCCGCCAGCGCGAACGAACTGCTAGCAAGGTAGAAGAGCAGCGCAGTTAGAGCAGAACCTGATATACGCTCTCAGTACAGCGATGACCGCGAAAGAGAACGTTTCGAACGGCGTTGAAGGCCCGGAAAGCCGCAAGGATAATATGCCATGCCCGCAAACATAACCCCTCAAAGGACGAAGCTTTCAAACTTTGCAACTCGTGCTGATTCTTTACGATGAATTACGAGATTTTGTGGCCAAACGGTGCAGGATTATAAAGCGTGGTGCCGGATCCTGTGTGGTGTTGTGAGATATTTCAGTGTTGAGATGTAAGGAAACGATAGTGTTCATGGGGTTGATTTGGAGAATCCTTGCCATCTATTTGGTGACTGCGCCTCAGGTGTCTCCCATCTTCAACGGGCTAGAGGATACTTCCACCCCCAACGACCTCGATAAGCCTGGTAAGTGTTTCTAAGACAGATTTTGCACCTTGGCCTTTAGAACATCACCCTTTTGCCCAACATCTAAATATTAAATAATAAAAAAAGAAAGAAATATTTTTATAAATGAAAACTTTATAAATCTCATTCCCTCTTTGGAAGCCTGGAAAGAACCCCCAATGATTTTCTTGTGGAAAGTATTTTGACCTTAGTCTAACTTCTATTACTTTTGTTGTTCTTTAAAATGAAAGTAAAACATTTATTCTGAGTTAATTCTAATTTTCTTTTCATTTCCCTTTTTTCCACTGGAAATCTTTAAGACATTTTTTATGTAGTTTTTTTAATGTGACAAATAAAATAAAAAATAAAATAAAAAATACCGCTTCTCAATGATTTTCTTATGCAAAATATGTACATAATATGCATAATAATTATATAGACATCTCTTGTTTTTTTCTTCTTAAGAATAACAATCAAATAGTAAGATTCTTTCCCGACAATAATCGTGGGATTTCTTTAATACATATTTGATTGTATTTATTTGGAGATTCGTGACAACAAGACGTGGCTCATATTAATTTTTTAATATTAAGAATTGGTTTATAGGTTTATTAGACACATTTTAGCCTAAAAAAGCGTTTTTTCAGCCCCGGCTTGTATCTAAATGAAAATTATTTATCTCTATAACACTTTATGTGTGACAGCTTCGCAGATTGAGCAAATAATTTTACAGCTTTGAAAATATTAATACATATACCTACTTGAGGAATTAACTGCATGCGAGAATGATCACTTTTAAATCTCATTGTCTTCGATTTTTGCAAATTTGCGATGTGTTAGAAAACGCGTAAAAATTAAAAAAACACGTATTTTACGCTGTTTAATTTTTTATGAATGTTGCCAAAGCAGGGCTTTATAAATATGTAGGCACACTACGGAGATAAATTAAATGTGTTTTAAAAGTTTGTTATTAATAGATATTAAAAAATATATATTCTTTTAACGAAAAAGTTAAGAATTTCGCAGATACATGTTTTAGGACGGACGTTTTAAAAATGGTTGGCATTTTTTTATTTATCGCTGCACGTACTCGTATACACTGTGTCAATTTTAAAACTTGCAATCGGCAATTTCTCTCAACTGAAAAAGTTATTAATAATCACTCAAAACCGTTTTGGTGGTTCCTAGGGGGAATTAAAATGACATGATAAGTGACACACCTCCACCCACCCTTGAATATAGTAAAAAAAAATGAAAATTTAACGTCTTCATTTTTGAATAATTGGAAAAATAACTTTACCAAATAGGCTGTTGAATGACATTTTTGAAAAGCGCTTGTTATGGGCTTTCCAACGATGTATCGCAAGTAGGGTCGTGCCATTTAAAATTTTCAACTTAAGGTGGCTGTGGCCTGAAGGGTGGGTGGAGGAGCGTCACTTACCATGCCATTTTGATTCCCCCTAAAAACTACCGAAATGGTTTTGAGTGATTGATTCTCAATAACTTTTTTAGTTCTAGAGATATTGGCAATTGCAAGTTTTAAAATTGACATCCTGTATATTTTCAAATTATTTGATAATAACAAATTTTTAGGACACATTTATTTACATCCACAGGGTGCATTTATATCAATAGAATTAAAAAAAAATGTTTCAATATGTTGGTTTGTTTTTCAGATATAATTTTTTTACTAATATGTAGTACTAAATCTTGTCTAGTCCTGTTTTTGCATCATACATAAAAAACAAAGCAGTGAATATTTGTTTTTTATTTTTACGCCTGTTTTAACATATATCAAATTTACAAAAAAATCGGAAACAATGAGATAAACGTGATCATTTTTGTATGGAATTACTATATGATTGAATCTAGTCTATTCATTATCATTTTAATAACCTGAAACAATTGTTTGATATAACAGTAAAAAGGGCAAGTATTTCTTTTTTCCAGCGTGGAATTATTGATTTTGTTTAATTTTTCCACTGTGAATAATAATACGCCGAGTCAATGTTGAGTGAGTTTATGTGGAAGACGTTGAGAAAGAGAATGAGACAAAACAAAGTGATAAAATGAAATAAAAGTTTGGTTATAGTAACAAATATCTCCATTTTATTAGGTTATTTAGATTCTTTCTGTAACTTTTATTTAAAATAAATTGAATAAATTGGAAGTGTATACTTAATAATTTTCTGTATTCGAAAAGTATTTTAGTGCTTCTATAAAGAAACGTCAACAATTCTAAAGTTACCACACTAGACACAAATAAATGCATTGCGGGAATGTATTTCTCTAAGGAAATCAACTCTAAACAAAACGTTTTAAATAAATTATACGTGTTTTATCAACTAAATAAATTATGCGTAAAATCAAGTAAAAATATATAACGATAAGACGTGTAGTAATTAAAATAAATGGTAGTGTTTGTTAGGACAACAATTAATAATTTACTACAGTAATAGAGACAAAAGCATATTAGAGTCAATATGTATTTTGTTTTGTAGCAAGGAAATTAATATTTCATCGATTTGTAAATTTAGACGTGTGAAAGTGAAGTAATGAAGTTTCAAATTGTCTGGAGATTATATACAAATATAAATTAATGTAAGAATTCTATGAATGACCCTGGCAATTTACAAAATATTTAACGAGATTTTTCACTATTTAATTAAAAATTCATCTATTCTAATTTGTTAGAAAATACGTTTGGAATAAATTTAAAATATGTAAAAGTTTGTCTTAATCAATTATGGTTTCTGTCCGATTCATTAAGTTTGATAAATTTTATTTCAAAACTGAATTATGAAGTGTCACTTTTATTTCGTATTTAGCTTAAAAATGGAATTCCTATCGTTTATCCGTTTAAAACTTTTCGAACTGTGAAGGTACAAGGTGTTCCAGCGAGTTGAAAAAGTCCAATAGTGACCTTGAAATAGTAAAATTGTATAGGACATTGATAAATACAATGAAGTGCATTACCTAAAATAATTTTCAACCATACAGCATGTCCCAAAATCAAGTTACGTTACAAACTTGTATTTTTTTAAATGAAACACCGTTATGTTTCTTTGCATTTTTGGATGTAGCCTTTTAAAACAATACTTTTAACGCTAAACTAAAAATTAATTTTTTTTTAAAATTTAAAGCTGTAGCAATTTATTGGTGTTTTGCATTTGTAATGATTAATAAATTAAGAAGTTTGTTAAAAGTTAAATAACTTTATAAATAATAAATTTAAATGGAACACCCTATTTTTTATTTTTGCATCTAATAGATGCAAAAAAAATAAAAAAAAATAAATTTTAATGTCTAGAATTAATAAATGAAAAGATATTTAACATTCAATATTAATTGTGGTACCAATGCCTATCAATATCTGAGCATTGTTGATACTATGGCAACCATATTAATTCCACCACGGATCACTTATCCGTTGATTTATCCAGAGATTGTAATAGTATATTAAAGTACAAGTTGCAGAAGAAAGCACAAATTTGAAATTCCGAAACGAGCCGCAAAGCGGCGAGTTGAGGAACAAATGAGTGCTTGAAGAACCTTCTGCAACATGTGCTTTATACTATTTTTTCCATTTCGCCGCTTTATATCATTTTATAAATTAAAAAACGAAAATTATTTTTTTTTCTAGAGAATTTTGCGACGGTTGGCGACGTTTATGTGTGGAATAATTTTAGGCGGCTGCTGTGTTAGAATAAGTCGTTCGCGGTAATTTAATTTTAGTGACGGACTTTCTTCACAATTCATTTTCAAATGTGAAAATAAGAATAATTTTTATTTTTTACAGCCGCCTAAAATTATTCCGCACATAAATGTCGCCAACCGTCGCAAAATTCTCTAGAAAAAAATATTTTTTTTTATAAAATGATATAAAGCGGCAAAATAGAAAAAATAGTATAAAGCACTTGTTGCAGAAGGTTCTTCAAGCACTCATTTGTTCCTCAACTCGCCGCTACGCGGCTCGTTTCGGAATTTCAAATTTGTGCTTGAAGCGCTTGTTTTTGTGCTTTTACAACTTGTACTTTAATATACTATTATAAATACTGAAATTCGAATTATTTTATTGTAAAAATAAAGAATAATGAAAAGAATATAAATAGTACATGTAGCAAATATAGAATACAGTACATAAATATCGAATTTTGGGCAATAAAAATAAATCATTGGGATAAATTTGTTGGTTAAGGCATATTTTAGAGATTAGGAGTTATTACTATAAAACCAGTTCTTTCTTCGATAACTTATCTTAATAGGTGATCAAGCAATGATCACTATCTTTAGTTTACTACTTCCCACATGTTTAGTATATGGTGATAATTCACTCCAGAGTTTGAAACTGTACAAATTGGTATGACCTAGACGTTGAATACTATGTATTTCAGCCACTAAGTGACGTCACAAAATGTCAAGATTAATTATCATTTTCGCAATTTTCTAGAATTACATAACAGAAAATAATTATCGATGTTTTATTTGTCCACTTATGTCATTTCATTAATAAGGTGCAACACGAACATGTTTTTATCCATGTATAATAAAGGATTTGCAAAACTAATTATGTTAATAATTTTTTTCTGGAAAGTGAAATATGCCGATTGCAGTTGATAATTTATCGTAAAAAATGTAAATTTGGCGAAAATTAATTCATACATGACACTTTGTTGATCAATTTCAATTTGTGACATCATGGTAATGACCGAATACTAACCGGTGTGTAAAATACCCATCGACAAAATTCAATTAAAAAGACATTTATTAGACAATTCTGGTGAATTAATCGAATACCAACCTCTTATCTGTTCTAAGTTAAAAAGTCGTTCTTTTATGCTGAATCAACGGCATTAAATGTAATTAGCATATAAAAAATTAGCACAAAATTTATTACGTACGAATTACCTGCTGTTTTAAACTTGCAAAAGCGCAAATTCGTAATTTACTGGTAATTAAGAAGAGTAATGAGCTATTTATCTACCAGCGAATTACTTTTAAATGATTGTTTTGTGATTGTGAGCTTTGATTGTGTGATCGGAGCAGTTTTTTAAGTTGATTCATTCTTTTCCAACTCCAACCCTTTAATTGTAGCGTTGTTTCAGCTTTATCCACAGATTATCGAATTTGATTTATAATTCTCATTCGAAAAAAATTACAGTTCCGACCCTTTTTACACATCATCGTTACATGATACGAAGCTGGATAATAAAAAGTTAGGTGCACGTGTTGAACACATTGTAAGGGTTACATTTCCGAAAATGTAAATAAAGCACGTATATAATGTAAATAAGGCGCAGTGGCGCGTTTCTTTAGGATGAATTTTAAGGTAACGTGTAAGTAATTCATGGAGAGATCTCGGAGCTTACAATGGAGATAATTTAGAACTTAATGATCTTACAGTGACTTTAATTTGACTTTGTTAGACGTTGCTATTATTATTTCTATATAAATGTTTTGTGTCGATAAATTTATATTGGAGGGAAAAGACGAAACGAAATCTCCGAATCATTGAGCAGATGGTTTTGTTATTATAATTACAACGAAAAATTTCAAACGCACTGCTTTTTTCCCTCAGTTTGAAAGGGAATTCTTTCGCTACTATTTCGCGAAAGACCTTGACCTCTTCTCAAGCCACCCTCGCAATCATGCATTCAATAGATTTTTGCCAATCACTACGTTTCTTATCACACCAAACGCGAAAAGCTGCCGAAAGAATATACTTGATCAAAGGTAAATTATCGGTGCTCAACCGCATAATCCCAAACGTTTTTCAACAAAGTAAAATTGTCTTTTTGGTCACTAAACAGTAGTAATTGCTGTAATTACAAACTTTTTGTTTGTTAAGTCGTGTTGTATTTATTTATTTGTATTACAGGGATAATGTAAGGTTTATTTGCCAGAGTAACAGCAATAATAATAACAGTGCTATTGACTGTAATAATTGGTCACGCTTTTTGTTCATTTAAATAGATTGGAGATTCGTTATCTTGATTTATTAACTTAACTGTTTATTTGGACAATAACATTTTTATTATATTTTGTGCTTCAAAAAAATTATAAGAGTACACTAGCACATTTAAAATTTAAAATTAAATTTCCGCCTTGCATTTGATGTTGTAAAATCAGTCTTTCTGTATTTTAAATGACTAGATTTAATTAAAATTTCAAACCGTGAGTGATTAAAACCAAGCAGTATAGTGTTAAAACATATCCAGATTTGATACTCTTTGATCCAAATATTTTTATTTTTATTTTTGTGAGAAAACAAATTTATTAAAAAAAAAATTAATGTTTCAGATGTTTTATTAGAAGCCTTTAACCAACATTTAATTTAATTTAATTTTTATTTGATTATTGTAACAGGTGTTTTATCCATGAAAGTCTGATTGTAAACAAATCATCGTATTGAAAGTTACTGATCTGACATTTGACACCTCGCCAGGCGTAGGTATTAAAAATTGTGGTCCGTTCACAACACACTCATATCACCACTAACTATGACGCCAAATTTAAATAAATACCCGTTACATTCATCAATAAACTGGAAAATTTTGCCATACTAATTTAAAAAACCGATACAAATGACGTATTTTGTTGGAAAGGTTATAAATCAGTTCCTGTTGTAGACAATTTTAGTCTGTATCTTTGACTAATAATAAATGAACGAATTCTGACAAAAAGCAATATTCTGTAGGTGTACCTACATATTTTTATAATGCTTACAATAAATAGGTATTTCTGTATTAAGTTCAAATTAGTAGGAGTAGTATGTTGTATAGTAATTGTTATTACATTTCTAATTCAAAGAAAAATGTAATATAAATACCTATTTGTCTGAGTCATTTGCTAAAAAGTGACGTCTTGTCTAGCAAATCTCTCTCGGCTAGATCAATACATTCCTGCCTTTACTTTTCTCAAGAAATGCAAATGATCCATTAGAACCGGCTGGTTGTTGTTCTAGCACATTATTAACTGTTATCGCCGTTTGACTCCCACAGCAAGATAATTTATCTTGATTTAAGTTAATCGTTAGGTTTCATTTATTGCAAAGTAACCCATCAATCAGATGGAAAAAAAAGTGTTGGCAGTGCGACCTCATCTGCAGTCCTCAACCAAATTTTCTGAGGAGGATCGATACCTTTCCTATTACCTTTCATACACCAAATATAAAAATCCATAACGTGATATTTGTGGGGTCGGAATAATAGATTGGGTCAAATTTTCTGTCGAGGCTAATGTTTGTGGTGTCAAAAAGCAGGATAATAAATTCAGAAACAGTGCAACGTATTGACATATTGTAGAAAGAGCGGTTTTTGTCAATTTCGTTAATGCTTTAATGCGTCGAATGCAGCTTTGCGAACAAAACCTTTCGTTGTCGACGCTTATGGAACTACTATTGCGGGTTTACCTAAAGTTATTAAGCGAATTTTGATCTCACACAATATTGTGTGGGCGCCTTGCCAACACCGTAAGTGGTTTCCGATACTTTTTCGTTTTGAATTTAGAACATGGGCAGAATCGATACACTTGTGCTAACGAACGGCCGTAACACATACAAGTTAATACAATCCGGATAGTTGTAGCGCTTGTTAAATTGAAAATTTATTTACATTCCAAATATAAAACATCCAAGTATAAAAGTTAAAATAATGGTCATCAATAAGTGAGAGTTTGTTTCGCAGGTTAAGTTTTTATTAGCAGTGTTGTATTTAACAAAGTTTACAAGTGTTACTTTTTCATTAAAGCTAGGAGTCTATTTATGGGAAAATCAATTTTTTGACAAGACGGCTTCTGAGAAGACGTATTTTTATTTTATGATATTGTATAACACTCATTAAATTACGAGAAGACAGTTATTATATTCTCACACGATTTATTTTAATGGATGTCTTTTAAATAATTTTAACGGATTTTCAAATATAAATCATAACTTAAGGTTACTAAAACTAGAAAATAAAAAGTTTTTCTTTATTTTCATAATTTATTGATTTTTTATACAAAATTTTAACCATTTAATTACCAAATTATAAGAAGGAAACTTTGGTGTAAATGAAAATTTACATAAATCCATAATCAGAATGAAACTGATTAAAAACTGAATATCGGGATTTTTTACAAAATATTAAATTTCTTTTATTTTTGTTTTTTGAATCTACGCTCAGAGAATTTGTTGTTTAATTTAGTTATACCCACCTAGTAAGTTTATTTTTGAATTGTCGTGGTCAGGTCAGGTTATTAACTCTTTCTTCTTAGTGCTCATATTAACAGTTCTAAATAATTTTTAGAAAATAAGTATTTGAACATTACTACCAGATTTACCTTAATTTTTCTTGTCTTGGAGGTGAAACGCCAAGTAACGTAAGAAACGTCCAGTACCAGTACCCGCAGTCGACCAAAGTAGGAACCAACCTATTGTCGGCGTAATTAGTTCATTTTTGTGGTTATAATTTTGTACACGAATTTAGCCGCGAACAGGTTTTACAAAATAAATTTTACAAAAACATAAAACGAAACGTGAGAACTCACACCTAATTGGTTTCCAATTGTTTTTAATTCGATAACTAACTGTAAGTAATTTGAACCGACTAATAGATTAATGGACCTCTCACATAACATTCTTGTCAAGTTTGGAATCCTCTTTGTGTATTCACTTAAAGGATTAAATTTTAAATCAAGAGAATTTAATCTCTAGAAATCGAACGTTTTTCACCGTAGGGGGTGGTCTCGAAAAAATCGAATAACAAATATTATACAATATATGAATTAAACCATTGTTTATTTGCGAGAAGAAGGATTAATTTTCCGAGCAAATAAACAGGTTTAATTCAGGTATTGTACCGTGCGATTAAATAAAAAATAAATTAGAGTAGGCGTCGATTAAATTCTACAGTTGGCAACACATTGGCTGGGAATCTGGGCTGGAAATTTTCAACACAAATTGAAAGTGAAAATAACCATCCACCGTTTTCCTCTTGTACAGCAATAAAAATTTTCTGCTCTAAAGTGAACATTATTTCACTCAAAAGGAATAAAACGCAAACTTGTCAAAGTTTCCGCTGACATTTGATGTCAAAAATCAGGATTGCCATCTGAAGGACTTTAATCACTCTAATTTATTTTTTTTTATGATCGCAAGGTATACCTATATTGTTTTATTCAGTTTTGACGAAATGTACCAAATAAATGTAGGAAAAATTTAAATTAGTCGGTCGGTGTATACAAATCATATAGGATGCGAATCAAATTTCTATGACGAGTTGTTTGCAAAAGTGCGAGAATTGTCACACGTATGGAAAAAATGGCTGGAATCTGCGATTATAAAGAGGAAAACCAGGTTTTTGTGCCTGACTTGGTCATTCAAGAAGCTTCAGAAGCTATAAATAAAGTGGTGTCAGTAAAATCTAAACAATTATACGAAAAAGAGTATGGGAATTTTTGTGAATGGATGAAGCTGAAGGATGCAAAGGAAGTAGACGAGAGAATAATTCTGTCTTCTCTTTCTGAACGATCAAAAAATGCGAAATCTTCGTCATTGTGGGCGTATTATTCCCAACTAAAGAAAATGTTATTTGTTAAAGAAAATATCGACATAAGCAGGTTTGTGAGGTTGATGTTATTTATAAGTTTTGAACTATTAAATAATTGTTGTAGATTTCATCAGGTATTTGCTTTCCTAAAACAACACTCTGTAGGGCACAGACCAAAGAAATCTAAAGTCTTCAGATTAGAAGAAATGGGAAGGTTCTTGGACACTTCTTAAGATGATGAATATTTGCTGCAAAAATCATAAAAATCATAAACCATTCTTCAACAATCATTCACAAGGAATCGACTTCAAATTCGGAAGAATGTACTTCCGCGTCAACATCAGTATCAAAGTAAAATATGAATTTGCCCATTAATGGTACATATGGTGTACATTTCAGTAGCGTTAGTAACTGTAACATTTATTTTAAATAATAGTACATTATATTATAAGTGATAGAAATGCATCATTATACGCGAGTGAGAATTTTGTCCGACGAGTGCGCTTGCGCACGAGTGGGACACTTCTCACGAGTTTCATAATGGCATTTCGATCACGTGTGATATACGACGTTTTATCTCACAGGTGCAAGTATCCAAAAAATGAAGTTTCATTCAAGTAAAATATTCACCTATAAAAATATAATAGACACATTTACTCACTTGTGAGTACTTTATTTCACTTGTGAATAATATTTGATTTCTATCACCGAAAACAATGGTCTAAGGTAGCTCAAAAACTCATCCTGTAAGTTAAAAGTAATTGTTTTTATTCATTAAAGTTTTTTTTTTTAAATCAATAGTGAAATAATTTTTAATTCACTTGTGAATAATAGATTGCTTATACGTGTTACTATGGAGTTAATAATGTCACTTTATAATGTCAAAATTGAATAAAATCTAATAATAATTAGAACTTTGATTACAAATTACAATTTTATTATTATTTACCGCTACATAATAGTTATTTTTAGATTAAGTGTGCGAAACGACCGTTTTTTTAACGCGACAATGTGCCGTTTTTTTCATTTGAGTATTAAAAAAACAGTTTCGCACACGTAATATAATCAACATTTGTTCTACAATATTTAATTTAATTATGTAAACTTTAAAAATTAGTTACATATTTCTCTTCGAACGTAAAATGCCGTTAGTGTGTTTAAAAAAAATCGCAACAAAATTGACCATAATAATACGTTTACTAGAAATTTAAGCTCACCAACACTGTGTTATGGAATTCAAATTTATAATTTTAGAACAAACGTTTTTGAAATTACTTATAAATACATATTTGAAATAGTTGTAGCACAAAATAATTTCTGTATTCAAGCAATGTTATTAACGCTGAAAATTTGTAAAAATATTGCGGGCCAATTAATATAGAATGTTTATTATTAATTCTTTCATTATAAAATATTTGTTATAATGGTGTTTTGTTTTGCGATATCTGTTTGCACAAATTCGATCCGGAAATGTAATGTATGTATTAATTGGAATGTTAGTGCCGGCATTGCACTAATAAAAGAGCGTAATTGAAACGCGAGATAACCTTTAGCTTGTCTAATCACTGGAACGAGCTGTGAAAGGTGCAGACTTGACACAACATGAAAAATCCAATTAAAATATACACCGTGAAGATTTATTTGTACATGCCTAACATATTCGAGTCTCAACAAGCTCATGTGTTAACAAAGACAAGAACCCCCGTCTACTGTTTACAATTATTTAAGTCATTATACACAATTAAAGGGTTTATGAACTCATAAACTAAGAATTGTACATACAAAACGCAGTTCCTACACAATAAACACATCATAAACTTTTTGTTTGTTGAGTCGTGTCGGTACCACATCTTTAATTCGATTCCTATAGCAATTGTCGACCAAGTGGCCATCATCCATATTTAATCAGGTCCGATTTAATAATTTGTAAATAATCTCGGATCAAAGGAACTGAATTATAAAGTTCCCCATCGCGCGTAATAAGCTAGTCCATGTAAAACAAAACGTGATTGATGGAATTTTTATAGATTAGCGATATTCGGCACAAGTGATAGGAATCTCAAGTGATTTAGGTCAATGCATGACTCGGATGTATTAACCGAACATTAGGACGCTTGATACTCACTTCTATTAAGTTCTCACAATACAAGAAGAAGTTATTTGATTTTTATAAACCTAGATTATACGTTACATTTTGGGATTTGATGGTTAGGGATTTGGTATTTTTACACACGCGAACTTCCAGGATCGTGACGCTGTCAAAAATGGGTGTTGAAGAGTTTACGAAACAACTCTTATCGAGGCAAGTTTCTTCATTTCCGGACTACAAAACACTAACACTAAAACAATACACTATAAAACCCGCTATCCTTTTAAGTATATGATGTTTTCTACAAATCGATACTTAGGTAATTTTTGGAAATAAAAACTTGTCGGGAACGTAATAAAACGAATTCAAAAGTTTGACAGTTTTAATTTTTTATTATTATTTTTCTACAGTGCCAGTGTTCATTTTACGGATGCTTTAGCATTTATCTAAAGATAATAAAAATATTTCCAATTTGCATCTCGGAAAGCAATAAACATTGCGAAAATAAGAAGAAAAAAGTACGGAATTAGCACCGAGAAACATGGGTATACCTAGTTTATTTTCATTTTCATTGTTTTTCTTAATAAAATTGTTTGAAATTTATTGAATGTGTTATTCGGCGCATATCTATCAGGAAAATAAGTTGTTCAATCTCGGGCTTGGTGTTTGCAGTGACATTTTGCTGTGTGAAAATCGTTCGATCACGACCAAATATGAATTTATTTGGTATTCGTTCGGGTCACGTATGGCAAAATTGTTGAAATTGGTGAATAGTTTCAGGGGTCGATGTATCAAAACTATGTCAATATTGGTCGACCGCGGCGAGGTATGGACCGAATATAAATAAATCTAAAGAATCGAATTGAAACATGGTAATCATTTCACCATAGCACCTAATTAATGGAAATTGATTTCAATTTAATTAAAATGTTTGTGTTGGTCTTCAAACAAACGAGACTTGTAATTAATTGTACGCAAAGAAAAATAAATATTTACTGAAGCTCATAAAAAATCGCTTTCATTATTGAAGAACGACAACGGCATCGAACTCAATTATCAGCTCGATTATTGGCTTTTTCGGCGGTTATTAATTAAATTTAATAAAACATAAAAATTTAAGATTTTTTTCATTTTCTAGAGAATTTATTTTTAGAGACAAATTGCATTACACATCTCTCAACAGACATGTCACAAAAAAGCACAAAGAAGTTTTACGAATTTCAGAACATTCGTACTCGTATAAAAAGATTGTATGAAATAGAAGCTTTTTTTTTAATTGTTAAAAAACATTTTTGATCATTAACCAGTTGTTTTTATTTTAAAAATTTATTAATTCCAAAATGAATTTGTTTACTTTTTAAAGAGCTTTGTATTTTTGAAATCCTTTGATGTATAAAAACAAAGTAGAGAGAAATTAAATATACAGATTAGATTATCATCAGTTTAAAAACAAATCGATTTAGTGTTAGGTACATTTAGTAACGTTTAACTGAAAGTGTTTATAAGTCATTATTGTAAATAAAATGTGTGACAATTTTAATTTAACAATGTTTTAGGTTCCAAATAAACTTTGTACTGGCTCTCATTTTTCTACTTGGAAAAACTGGAGAAGTTCGTCCTTGTTGTGCAGAATATTGGCTGTTAACAACATAATTAACAAAGTTATCTGTGGGGAGTTGAGGCAGGTTTTTAATGTGGAAGTTGAAAAGTTATTCCGCCGATTTTTTTTTCGATCTAATTAAAATCGTCAGAAAAAGTATTCACATCACTTGCATGCTTAAACTGATTTTAATAAAAGTTTACGCCCTACTCTTTACTTTCATCAATCAAGCTTCCACAAGACATAAAAAGTTTCAGATGGTACAATTAGGGTTTGTAAAGGAGTTAACTAGCAAAACAAAAAGTGTCTGACAGGAAACTAATAAAAATGTGAAACTGTAAAGATTTGTTTTATCAAAATTTTATCCGTCGCATTTGAAAATTGTTGGATTTGATTACTGTAATAAATAACTGACCACATCCGGCGTTGCTTGGCTTTAATCAAAAGGAAAAGTCGAGTGCTGCATTCTTCACTGAAGATGCGAGAAGTGGAAATAGCTCATTAACTAAAACTAACGGAATAATTTAAGTATTATAAAGACTGGTCAAAAGTTTAAAATATGTACACTTGAATATTAATTCCAGTTGGGACAACTAACTAATAGTTGTGTTGTTTTGGGTATTACAATTTCACCGACTAGTATTACGTCAGCATAAAATGTGAGATTTCATTTTAATTGGTTAAATTTGCACTGTCCTAACGCTGCAAATTTAACGCTTATGCGTCAGTACTATTTCTGTTTTGTGAATGATGTCAATTTTAATCTAATCCAGCAATTCGGTCAAAAGTTTTTAATTATGTAAAATGATTCTTGTCAAGCTTCAAGCTATTACTAAAAACAGCTTAAGTCAAATGCCAATTTTGGCAACATATTTTGCCTGATAATTTGCAAAACTTGTCTGAGAGTATCGGCATGAAAAATTTACTTGCTAATTTGCAAACTCGCTGGGTGTATCTGAAGCGCAAACTTCGCCTAGCCAAATTATTAACAAAGCTTGCATATTTTGCTACAATTTTAATGAAACGAAACTTATCCACGTAAGAGCACATTTGTCGCTGAAGTAGTTTGTTAAGATGCGGCCCCATATGCCAGGATATGGTTTAATTTATATGGCGATTGCGCCTCAAGGAGTATAATTTGTGAAATGGCTTTGAGTTACAAGGAACGGCATTAGAATATGAGAACCAACAGCACAGTTTGCGTTACTTAGTTTGACCTTTCTCATTTAACTGACTATCTTAAACTTGATGAAATATGGCCGGTAGAGTTTGTTGTTGACTTTAATTGCGACATTTTCTCATGTACTGCCTAGAAACCTCCAAACAAATTAAAATATTTCTCTAAGATTTATCAACGTGTTTTGCTCCGGCGGCTTTTAATTCGATTCGAATAGCGCCGATGAAACTCTTGAAGTCATCTCCCAACACGTGCCGCAAAAATTTCATCTCCTAACATCGTTTCTTATGTTAATGTTGCTCTGTTCAAGTTTCTGAATAAATTTGCATATTTTCAGAGAATTAGTTTACAAATAAACATTGTTTTT